CATGGTTTCCTTCTCCAAGTGTGGACACAGCAGCAGACACCCCTTGTCTCTTGGGTCAGGACACTGCATAGAGTGGAATAGCAAGGTAACAGAGTCACTGCAGAAAGCACCCACTTGGGAGAGGTCCAGCAGGGAAGGCCAGCTGTCCCAGGAGCACCATATTTAGGGGTAACTCCTCTTTCTGCATAAAACTGTTCTTTCATTACTTTTGTATTCACAATAGTTCTGAAATCATAGGATGATCAGACTCAAGACTGGCTAGGTTATTTTTTTTTTAATCTCCAAGACTTGTTGATCTTTTGTATAGTTTTCTGTGCCTCAAGTTTCTTGAGAACTGAACTCATTCTTAACATTTCACAGTCCACTTTCAGTTAATAATGAACTAGTATCCATAAATATAGAACTCTTGCAACCATTTATACTCTATAAAATGTCCATCTTTTATGGTATAGACATTTATGTAATATATCTATATAGGCTGCAAGTCCCACAGGAAAAATCTTTTTCTCATCTTTAAACAGTTCTACGTATACAAAGTGAGAGTAAATGAGGGGAGCAAGAGAGCCTTCTGCACTTAGCTCAGTGTTGACCACGAATGATCATCTTCATCTTTTCTGATAATCTCAATTTCCACCTGGTATCATTTGCCTCTACCTTGAAGAATTTTCTTTACCAATTGATACTGTCCAGATCGGCTGGTGACAAATTCTCAATTTTCTTTTACCTGAAGTATCTCCTTATTTTGCCTGTCCTTGAAGAACATCTGGGCTGGATATAGAATTTTTAGTTTACTTTTTTTTCTTCCTGCACTTTAAAGATGTTATTCTGCTTTTTTTTTTTTTTTTTTTTTTTGGTTTGTTTGTTTCCGTGGTTTTTAATAAGACATTGGCTGGACAAGAGGAACAAAGACACTAAAACTGAGAAAATAACGTGGTAGACCTAGAAACCTGTCGTGTCTTTTTTTTTTTTATTCAGTCCCCATAGAAACTGACAAAAATTGCCAATGCTGACTATATTTCAAGTCGTCATGGCAGGGACTTGGGAAAAGTTTTCAATTAGCAATAATCACACCTCGGATGAACCTCATTGGCTATGATATTGCCACTGCACAAAGCTCCTATCACAACAATAATGACAAAAACCTACAGGAATCAACACTCCAATGAAGGGCAGAGATTGTGTGACTTGGTTTAGAAAAAACACAGAACCAACCATATGATCTTTCCAGACATACACTTTCTTTTTTTTTTTTTTAACGTTTATTTTTAGCTAAGGGGTACACGTGCAGGTTTGTTACATAGGTAAACTTGTGTCATGGGGTTTTGTTGTACAGATTATTTCAGTACCCATTAGTACCCAACCAAGTATTAGGCCTTAGTACCCATTAGCTCTTTTTCCTCATCCTCTCCCTCCTCCCGCCCTCCACCCTCAAGTAGACCCCAGTGTGTATTGTTCCCTCTATGTGTCCATGTTTTCTCATCATTTAGCTCCCACTTGTAAGTGAAAACATGGTATTTGGTTTTCTGTTCCTGCATTAGTTTGCTAAGAATAATGGCCTCCAACTCCATCCATGTTCCTGCAAAGGACATGACCTCATTCTGTTTGATGGCTGCATAGTATTCTATGGTATATATGTGCCACGTTTTCTCTATCCAGTCTACCACTGGACATTTTGATTGACTCCAAGTCTTTGTCATTGTGAATAGTGCTGCAGTGAATATATGCGTACATGTAAGTCAGGCACTTTCTTTTTTTATTTAATGTATTTTATTTTACTTTAAGTTCCAGGATACATGTGCAGAACGTGCAGGTTTCTTACACACATAGAGTCTGCCATGGCAGTTTCCTGCACCCATTGACCTGTCCTCTGAGTTCCCTCACCTGCCCCCTACTCCCCAAAAGACCCTGGTGTGTGTCGTTCCTCTGCCTCTGTCCATGAGTTCTCATTGTTCAGCTACCACTTAGGAGTGAGAACATGCAGCGTTTGGTTTTCTGTTCTCGTGTTAGTTTGCTGAAAGTGATGGCTTCCAGTTTCATCCATGTCCCTTCAAAGAACATGAACTCAGTCCTTTTTACGGCTGTGTAGTATTCCATGGTGTATATGTACCATATTTTCTTTGTCCAATCTATCATTGGCAGGAATTTGGATTGGTTCCATGTCTTTGCTATTGTAAATAGTGCTGCATTAAACATACATGTCCGTATGTCTTTATAGCAATATGATTTCTAGCCACTTGGGTATATACCCAGTAATGGGATTTCTAGGACAAATAGTATCTTTGAGGAAGGGCCACACTGTCCTCCACAATGGCTGAACCAGTTTACATTCCCACCAACAGTGTGAAAGGGTTCCCATTTCTCCACGGCCTTGCCAGCATCTATTGTCTCCTCACTTTTTAATTATTGCCATCCTGACTGGAGAGAGATAACATTGCACTGTGGTTTTGATTTGCATTTCTCTCACAGTCAGTGTTATTGAGCTTTTTTTTCATATGTTTCCTGGCCATGTAAATGTCTTCTCCGGAGAAGTGTCTGTTCATATTCTTTGCCCACTTTTTGATGGGGCTGTTTTCTTTTTCTTGCACGTTTTTTTAAGTTCCTTGTAAATGAAGATGTGAGCTCTCGTCATTCTTGTGAGACTAACAGGCATCCTAACCAGTGCAACACGGCAAGAAAATGAAATAAAAGACCAACAGAAGGACCAGGCCTGGTGGCTCCTGCCTATAATCCATGCATTTTGGGAGACTGAGCTGGGAGGATCACTTGAGTTCAGCAGTTTGAGAGAAGCCTGTTAATGAGACCTCATTTCCACCAAATAAAAATAATTTTAAAAGAAAAAAGATTAATAGATAGGAAAGAAAGAAATAAAAGTCTTTCTTTGTCACCTACTTCATTGCACATGTAGGAAACACTCGGGCATTCTGAAAAGTTTCTAAAATTAATCATTGAATTTGCTAAATAGTTCGTAAAATATATGTAGTAAGTCAAGTCAGTTAAATGAATCTGAGAAGATAGCAAACCACACCAGTCATCAAAGAAGTGCAAGTTAAAACCACAATGAGAAACCACCACACATCACGTAGAATAGGTAAGCTAAAAAGACATATGATAAGTCCAAATACTGGCAAGAATATGAAAAAAATAGAAATGTCTGATATTGCTGGTTCGAATGCAAAAAATGTGGCAGCCAATTTGTAAAGCGGTTTGGCAATTTCTTATACAGCTGCCCATCTATTACCACATGACCCAGCAATTCCACGAATATTTATTTATCCAAAATAAACAAAAATGTAAGGCCACACTTGTGAACAGTTATGTGTAGTGGCTTCATTAGTAACACAGCCTAATTGGAGTAATCCACATGTTTATTAACTGGAGAATAGAGAAACCGATGAGTAAACTGGGATTCCAGCAATACTCACCAGCTGCTCAGCAACAAAAATGAATGAATGGCATCATCTCAAACACTGTTATGCTAAGTGAGAGACCAAACGAAGGACTACATCATGTATGATCACATGTCTATGAAATTCCAGAAATTACACTAATGCAGTGACAGAAAGCAGAGCAGTGGCTGAGTGAAGGGAAGGGGTGAGGGTAGGAGCCAGGGATTAAATAGAAAGGGACAGAAAGAAAGTTTTTAGGAAAAAGAAACTGTTCTCTACAATGCCACAATTTGAGAGTCACTAGGTGGTGGGAACTGAGGGGAGAGCAGGGTGATGAGGGGGCAGAGAGAAGGGCTGGGGAAGCAGGAGGTGAGGAAAGGGAGCAGGGGAAAGGACTCTAAAGCCTTGGAAGAGCCTAGCAGGGGGTTCTTAGGGCTCGGTATTTAGTACATTTTATATGGGACTGCCTAAAAACTAATGGCTTCCTCATGATTTTAGAAAAAGAAAGTTACAGAAATACCAAGTGTCCCAACAAAATATGCACAGTGCTTAGATGTGCATAGCTCACGAAAGCAGGCCCTGCTGGAGCGTCGGTGAAGAGCGCTGGGACTGCATGGAGCACTTGCAACTTTGAGATGATGGCTACAGGCTCCCGGTTCAATACACAGTAACAAACCTGCTTCTTTGTATTCAGGAGATGTTCTGGACTCACACAGGGAAACTCGGGCTAGGGAAGAAAGATAATTTTAAGTGCAACAACCCGGAGTCACAGATCCGTATGTGCCGGAGTCACAGATCCAACGCATGTGCCTCATGACTCTCGTGGGTCATGATAACTGGGTACATGGAGTTCTGTTCCATTCTGGGGGGAAGTTTATTTTGAGTTGTGCTGATGACAAGACCCTACGTGTATGGGATTACAAGAACAAGCGATGCATGAAGACCCTCAATGCGCATGAACACTTTGTTCCCGTAGTCCGGGAAAGTAAAACTTAGGAGCTTTGAGAGTTTAACTGTAATGCTGTTTTGACACAGGTCTTTGACAGATTGGAATCCTAACCATTCAGAGATTACCAATATTGTGCTACTTACTGTATTAATAAACAAAAAGAAAACTGGTCTCTATCTGGTGCCTTCAGGCAAAACTTCACCAGGTTTAAAGAGAAAACCCCTGTCTCTACACTTCCATTCCCAGGGCGAGCTCACTGTCTGGCATCAAGTCCCCGCGGTGAGTTTCCTTATACAAGAGTCCGAGGGGAGAGGTAAGGAGTGGGAGGCGGGGAGTCCAGTTCAGGGTCGGGGATTCCAGGACGAGAAGTGAAGGGGAAGGGGCTGGGCGCAGCCTGGGCATCTCTCCCTGGTTCCCACAGTGTGACAAAGAGGCTTGGTGTAGGAGAAGAGGGATCACGACAAAGTCCCAGGTCCCTGGCGTGGGTCTCAGGGTCTCTGGCGCCGAAGGCCTTGTCCGCATTGGGGAGGCGCAGCGTTGGGGATTCCTCATTCCCCTTTCACTTCTCCCATCCTGTGTCGGGTTCTTCTTCCTGGATACTCGTGACGAGTCCTCACTCCCATTGAATGTCGGATTTCTAGAGAAGCCAATCAGCGTCCCCGTGGTCCCTCTTCTAAAGTCCCCCGTCACCCACCAGGACTCAGATTCTCCACAGAACACTGAGGATGGGATCATGGCTCCCCGAACCCTCCTCCTGCTGCTCTCGGGGGCCCTGGCCCTGACCCAGACCTGGGCGAGTGAGTGCGGGGTCAGGAGGGAAACGGTCTCTGCGGGGAGGAGCGAGGGGTACCGCCCAGAGGAGGCGCAGGACCCGGGGAGCCGCGCCGGGCGGAGGGTCGGCGGGTCTCAGCCCCTCCTCGCCCCCAGGCTCCCACACCCTGTGGTATTTCACCGCCACCATGTCCCGGCCCGGCCGCGGGGAGCCCCGCTTCATCGCCGTGGGCTACGTGGACGACACGCAGTTCGGGTGGTTCGACAGCGACGCCGCGATTCAGAGAGGGGAGCCGCGGGCGCCCTGGGCGGAGCAGGAGGGTTTGGAGTTTTGGGAGGAGCACGCGCAGGGAGCCAAGGCCAAAGCAAAGACTGACCAAGTGAACCTGCGGATCCTGAGCGGCTACTACAACCAGAGCGAGGCCGGTGAGTGACCCCGGCCCGGGGCGCAGGTCACGACCCCTCCCCATCCCGCACGGGCCGCCTGAGTCTCCCCGAGTCTCCTGGTCCGAGGTCCACCCGGAGCCTGCGGACCCGCCCAGACCCTCCACCACGGAGAGCCCCAGGCGGGGCTCTTTTCATTACCAAGTTTCATTTTCAGTTTAGGGCAAAATTCCTGCGGGTTGGTACGGGCGGGGGCGGGGGCGGGGGCGGGGGCGGGGCGGGGGCGGGGGCTCGGGCGGGGCGGGGCTGACCGCGGGGCGGGGCTCGGTGGGCGGGGGCGGGGCTCGGTGGGCGGGGCTGACCGCGGGGCCCGGTCCAGAGCCTCACACTATCCAGGATTTGTATGGCTGCGAAATGGGGCCGGACGGGCGCCTCCTCCGCGGGTATTACAAGTCAGCCTACGATGGCAAGGATCACATCGCCCTGAACGAGGACCTGCGCTCCTGGACTGCCGCGGACACGATGGCCCAGATCACCAAGCGCAAGTTGGAGGCGGCCCATGAGGCGGAGAGTTTGAGAGCCTACCTGGAGGGCGCGTGCCTGGAGTGGCTCCGCAGACACCTGAAGAACGGGAAGGAGGCGCTGCAGCGCGCGGGTACCAGGGGCAGTGGGGAGCCTTCCCCATCTCCTGTAGATCTCTCTGGTTGGCCTCCCACGAGGAGGGGAGGAAATGGGATCAGCCCTAGAATATCTTCCTCCCTTGAATGGAGAATGGCATGAGTTTTCCTGACTTTCCTCTGAGGGCCTCCTCTGCTCTCTGCACAATTAAAGAATGACGTCTCTGAGGAAGTGAAGGGGGAGATAGTACCTGGAATACTGAACAGAGGTCCCCTTTGATCCCTGCAGTCACCTCGTGCACCGTGACTTTTTCTCTCAGGCCTTGTTCTCTGCCTCACACTCAAATGTTTGAAGGTCTGATTCCAGCTTTTCTGAGTCCTTCTGCCTCCACTCAGGTCAGGATCAGAAGTCGCAGTTCCTCCCTCAGAGACTAGAACTTTCCACGGAATAGGAGACTATCCCAGGTGCCTGTGTCCAGGCTGGTGTCTGGGTTCTGTGCTCCCTTCCCCACCCCAGGTGTTCTGTCCATTCTCAGATGGTCACATAGGTGCTGCTGGGGTGTCCCATGAGAAATCCAAAGTGCCTGAATTTTCTGACTCTTCCCCTCAGATCCCCCAAAGACACACGTGACCCACCACCCCGTCTCTGACCATGAGGCCACCCTGAGGTGCTGGGCCCTGGGCTTCTACCCTGCGGAGATCACACTGACCTGGCAGCGGGATGGGGAGGACCAAACTCAGGACACCGAGCTTGTGGAGACCAGGCCAGCAGGAGATGGAACCTTCCAGAAGTGGGCAGCTGTGGTGGTGCCTTCTGGAGAAGAGCAGAGATACACGTGCCATGTGCAGCACGAGGGGCTGCTGGAGCCCCTCACCCTGACATGGGGTATGGAGGGGGATGGGGGGTACATGTTTCTTCTCAGGGAAAGCAGGAGCCCTTCTGGAGCCTTCGGCAGGGTCAGGGCCCCTCACCTTCCCCTCCTTTCCCAGAGCCACCTTCCCAGCGCACCACCCGCATTGTGGGCATCGTTGCTGGCCTGGCTGTCCTAGGAGCTGTGGTCACTGGAGCTGTGGTTGCTGCTGTAATACGGAGGAGGAAGAGCTCAGGTAGGGAAGGGGTGAGGGGTGGGGTCTGGCTTTTCTTGTCCCACTGGAGGTTTCAAGCCCCAGGTAGAAGTGTGCCCTGCCTCACTGCTGGGAAGCACCATCCACACATGGGCCGACCCAGCCTGGGATCCTGGGTGCCAGCACTTACTCTTTTGTGAAGCAGACATGACAATGAAGGACAGATGTATCACCGTGATGATTGTGCTGTTGGAGACCTGATTCCAGCAGCCACGAGTCAGGGGAAGGTCCCTGCTAAGGACAGAACTTAAGAGGGCAGTTGGTCCAGGACCCACACCTGCTTTCCTGGTGTTTCCTGATCCTGCCCTGGGTCCGTAGTCATAATTCTGGAAACTTCTCTTGGGTCCAAGACTAGGAGGTTCCTTTAAAATCTCAGGGCCCTGCCTCCTCCCTGTCCCCTCACAGGACATTTTCTTCCCACAGGTGGAAACAGAGGGAGCTACTCTCAGGCTGCGAGTAAGTGAGGGGCGGGAGTGTGGAGGAGTCACCCACCCCGTAATTCCTCCTGTCCCACATCTCCTGCGGGCTCTGATCAGGTCCTGTTTTTGTTCTACCCCAGGCAGCGACAGTGCCCAGGGCTCTGATGTGTCTCTCACAGCTTGTAAAGGTGAGAACCTGGGGTGGGGAGGGGGCCTCAAGTAGGCGGGGGTTGGGGCAGAAAGGAAAAGACTGGGGAATGGGGATTCTTTGGGACATTTCGAGTGTGTGGTGGGCTGTTCAGAGTGTCACTTACCATGAATGGACAGAATTTGTTCATGACTGTTGTTTTCTGTAGCCTGAGACAGCTGCCTTGTGTGGGACTGAGAGGCAGGATTTCTTCACACCTTCCCTTTGTGGCTTCAAGAGCCTCTGACATCTCCTTCTGCAAAGGCTTCGCTTGATGAGTTGATTAAATAGGTCACTTTATAAAATCTGAGAGAGGAAATAAAGACCTGAGAACCTTCCAGAATCCATGTGTTTGCTGTGCTGAGTCTGTTGCAGGTGGGGATGGAGAAGGCTCTGAGGAGCCGAGTGTGGACGGGGCCTGTGCCCAGTTGCTGTTGAGTCCATCATGGGCTTTATGTGGTCAGTCCTCAGCTGGGTCAGCTTCACTGCTCCACAGTCCTTGTCCTGTCAGTGGAAACTTGTCCAGCAGGAGCTGTGACCACAGAGGCTCAGACATCGCCTAGGGCGGCCCCTGCACACCAGAGTCTCTGTGTTTCTGAGACAAAGTTGCAGACCCATTCAGCTCCTGGCCTCCCTCTAGGGCTCCTCTTCTGCTCTGCTCTCCTGCCCTCTCTCCCTGCCCTGGTTCCAGTGATCTTGGTGCTGGCTCCAATCCAAACTCATGAATCTAAAGCAAAGTCTAATTTAGATTCCCATTTGTTTGTAAAATTGGGTCCGTAGTCTAGAATTGTTCTTTCCTGAAGAGAGAAACGTGATTGTGTGCTGCAGTGTGTGGAGGGGGGAGGGAGGGGTTGTTGGTGTGGGAAGAGGGATGGGGAGGGAGGCCCACAAGCAGCACTGCTGAGAAACACACAGGGCTCAATGCCAGTGTGAGGGGACCTTGTGCTGTAGCTGCCACAAAACAGCATTTGGCCTAAGGCTATGTTAGAAAAAGATACTGCCTAGAACAGGGAGGTGCTCTACAGTGATCATTCAACTGACCTTTGGTGTCTGCCAGACATAGGACGGAATGGTTCTGCATCTGGTGAACATCACTGAAGTAAAATCAGAAAAATGTCCAGCCTTTTGGAGCATGTGTTCCAGTGTGAAGAGGCAGATGCACAATCCAGAGGACAGACAGACTATAACCAGAGTGAGGAAGGAACGTGCTAGAAGGTAGGAAATGCTGTGAGCCAGGTGATCCGGGGTGTGGGCAGTGGGGACAGAGAAGGTGGCTGTTGTGCTGGGTAGTCTGTGTGCCTTGTTGCAAAGGTGACCTTTGAGGAAAGATTTGAGGGACATGAGGAGTGTCCATGAGGATGTCTGGGGAGGTTCTTTCCCGGCAGGGGACCCTCCAGGGCAAATGCACTAGGGCAGGAAGGGGTCTGTGTTCCCAGGAGAGCAAGGAGGCCAGGAGCGCTGGACAGAGAGAAACTAGATGAGGTCAGAGGTGTGGTCAGAGCAGGTGGGCTTTAAGGGGCGATGCAGTTGGATCTGATCCTTGCTCTGAGTGACATGGGAGTTAGAGGACAGTTTTCAGCCGAAGAGGGACATGATATGACCTCCCTTTTATTTTTTTTTTTTTTGAGACGGAGTTTCGCTCTTGTTACCCAGGCTGGAGTGCAATGGCGCGATCTTGGCTCACCGCAACCTCCGCCTCCTGGGTTCAGGCAGTTCTCCTGCCTCAGCCTCCTGAGTAGCTGGGATTACAGGCACGTGCCACCATGCCCAGCTATTTTTTTTGTATTTTTAGTAGAGACGGGGTTTCACCATGTTGACCAAGATGGTCTCGATCTCTTGACCTTGTGATCCACCCGCCTCGGCCTCCCAAAGTGCTGGGATTACAGGCTTGAGCCACCGCGCCCGGCCGACCTCCCTTTTAAAAGGATGTCACTGACTGCTATACCGAGAAGAAAACTGAGAGGCTGAGAGGTGAGGGATGAGGGAGGCAGAAGGGAAAATAGTAGGAAGAGAGTGCAGTATTCCAGGCTGGAGATGTCAGTTACTTTCACTGGGGGAAATAGTGGGACGTGAGGAGATTCTGGATGCATTTTAAGATGGACTCACAGCATTTGCCAATGGATTGTATCTGTGGTGTGAGAAAGAAGAATCAAGGACATTCATAGTTGTAAACTGACTGAGTAGAAGAAAGGGTGGAGCTGCTGTCAGTGGAGATGGGGGGACTCTGGCACTGAGGAGGGGGCATCCCAGGCATTCGGTGGAGGAGATGTCTACTAGGAATGCAGGTGAGGGAGCCGGGGTGGAAGTCGGACAGACAACTCCAGAGTTTAGGAGAAAGGACTGCACTGGAGAACAGACTTAGGAGGTCACATTACATAAATGATACTTAAAACCTCAAGCATGGATGAGGGCGCCAAGGCAGTGATTGTGGAAAAGACTGAGCGCAGGAACTGAACCCTGGACCTCCAGGTCTAAGGGATCTGATCAGACCACACCCAGAGCAGACTGCACAGTTCTGACCCCACGCCTAGAGGACGCTTAGACAAGGACCTCCCATGTGCACAGGAATCACCTGGACGTGGTGCTGAGATCCAGAAAGTCCAGAGTCGAGCAAGAGATTCTGGATTTATGACAAGGCTGGAGCTCCTGATGCTGGTCTCCAGATCACACTTGGAATAGAAAGAACACGTGGATCCCACATGTCTGTGCATCAGCCTCGCCTGTAGGGCTTGTTATATAAATGATGCCTTGGTCTTGTGCATAATACTGTGGGACAGCAGTTCTAGAGAGTGGCCTGAGGATTTTCTAAGCCCCTGCCAGCAATCCTGTTGCTAAGCCAGGTTGGGAAACACTGAGATAAGTGATCCAAGAGTGCCCAGGGTGGGTGGGTCGGGTGGGTTTTCAAATCTTGGTTAAAAGAGGCTTTTTCTCACAGCAAGGAAAGGCAGGATGTACATCATCAATTGTGAGATGTGATATTCCCTGTTGATCTCTCCACCATGGCGTAGAGGCCAGGTAGACAATTCTGGATGTAGCTCTCACACAAAGAACACCTCTGAATGCTGCTCTCTGACACTGGGCCACACACTGATTTCTCACTCACTTCTTGGAGCAAACTATGGAAAACAAATTTCTTTAATTTACACCTGAAGTAGTGTATCTGGTACTGGGGGCTAATTTTATGGTGGGGAAGGCCACAGAACCCTGCTGGAAATTATACATCCAGGAACAGAATCCACAGCCCACTCTTGGTCTGGTCCCTCCTGGGAACAACTGCCCCTGCTGGTGAGCACAGACGCCACTGCTCACGCCTCTGACATCTGGTGCTGGACACTGGACCCTGAGGCTAGGACAGATGTCACTGCTGTTTCTGGAACTGGACATCACCACTGCCACTCAGCCATTCTCTCTAAAATGCATTCCGCATAGTCCCAGCCTCTCTATGTCACCTCATTCTGGCTCAGAGTCTGGCAGTGATATAGGAATTAAGTAGAAATCATTTACAAGGTAGCAAGGGTACAGAAGACTCAGTACGGTTTTCCTTTTAATGAAGAGCAGCACCCAAATCATTTTCTTTCCTAACAAAGAACAGCCTGTAAAATCAAGCTTCAGACACAGACAAGCAAGCTGGGAGCTCTCAGGGACAAATGCGGCAGCTGTGCCAGTAGCAAAAGGACACCTGGGACTAGACATGTTCACAAGGGCAGCCCCGTCTTCCCTTCTCTTTACCAGCCATAATTACAGCAAGGAGCAGAGAGCATGGCCACGACAAATGGAAAGCCCATTTCCATAATAGGATTAGGGTGGGGAAACAGCTGTCCCCACGCACTATGTAAATATCACACCTGGTCCAACCAACCTGTGGAGCCTCCATAAATCAGACGCCATCTCCTCAAGCCTGCCTGTAAAATCTGATGCACTCCCATGACAGGCCACAATTCTTTTTCAGGCACCCCTCTCTCTTGCAAGAGAGAGAACTGTTCCCCTTTGTCTTTCTTTTCTTTCCTTTGCCTATTAAACCTCTGCTCCTAAATTTGCTCCTCTTGTGTCCGTGTCCTTCATCTTCTTGGTGCAAGACGATGAACTTCAAGTATTTACCCGAGACAATGACAGCTTCAGCAGGTGCTCATCTCACTGGTGGAGCCTAAGACCCATGTCCATGATCCACTGCAGGGGTGACTGGAGGGTTGTCCTCTTCCAGGGAGGGAGGTGGTTTCTGTCTCCTCTCAACACTTTACATGTTGTAAACCAAAAATGAACTTCAAAGCCACCTTCTCCCAACCATCTTAATGGACACCCTCCTCTGCCAGGGCACTCAAAAGTTCACCTGGAAGACTGGCTCAGGCCATCATGCGAAGTAGGCATTGAACATGCTTCATTATGCCCTCTTCCATTTTGGAATTCAGGAAAAGCTGACCAGCATTTAACATCAACACAGACCCTATGTCTGATTAGAAATATTTCCAATCTATTCTCTCTGAAGCCTGCCACCTGGAGGCTTCATCTGCATGGTAAAGTTTTGGACTCCACAATCTCTTATAACACAGACATTCCTTTCTATGGATAATAGCTCAATCAATTGCCGATCAGAATACTTTTAAATCTACCTATAACCTAGAAGCACTACCCCCACCCCCACTTGCTTCACATTGTTTCGACTTTCTGGACTGAACCAATGTACATCTTAAATGTATTTCACTGATGTCTCTTATCTTCCGAAAATGTATAAAACCAACCTGCACCCCAACCACCTTGAGCATGTGTTCTCAGGGTCTCCTGAGGGCTGTGTCATGGGCTGTGACCATTCATATTTGGCTCAGAATAAATCTCTTCAAATGTTTTATACAGTTTGACTGCTTTCATTGACAGTGTGAAATTCTGATGTATTAAAAGGGTCCAAGTGCTGAGTGTGGGGGTGAAAAAAAGAATAAAAACTTTTAATTCTTGGAGCAATGATTCAAGATGAGGACTTTATCTGGTACCTGGTAGGCACTCGGAGTGTCTGAATGAACCAGTGATAAATAAATAACATCTTTCTATCCATTTCCTTGAAAATAAACTATTACATCATGTGTTTGTCTATCCCAGTTCATACTCTAGATTCTTCGAGTGGGATGGTGTGATGGTGAAATGATTATTCACACATCTTCCTGTGGTATTGTCTCTTACCAGGATATAAAAACCCAGGTTTGTAAAATAGCAGAGGATTTGGGTACACACTGATGTTTTATATTAATATCTATATTTTCTTGTGTGTGGAAATATTTCTGGGGAAAGAATCTCTAACATTTATTAGTTTTTATGTGACCCCCTCAGAGGCCTAAAAGAAAATCCTAACTTC